GCCACAGCACCCCCCCCCAGCCCCCGAGCCACACAAACTCGCTAAGCGACTCACGCCTGCTTATCTGAGCTGTTGTAATAAGAAGTTACCCTTTGAAGTTTTATTTTAAATAGAAACGATTGAGAATAAAGTACATTCTCCCTTAGAAATAAATCAATCGTTAAATACAGCTGATGAAATAAAGAGCAACATAACACAGAAAATGACAGCGGATTCAGTGTAAAAATTCTCCCCGTTTCACTGAGAGCAAAACCTCTTCACGGGCCCCTTTGCCACGTAGGGCCGTGCGTTTAACGTTCGCTGACGGTGCACTTCAGGGTGGAAAGGAAGAAACGGGGCCAAAGAAAGATGACCCCAGGCCGGGTAACAGCAAACAGGAGACTGAACACAGCACACAGGGAGGGGCGTGCTGACCACGAAAGGAAAAAACAAAACTCCGCTAAAGACAGTGCGTGGAACCCTCGTGGTGGGACGCGGAGTGTGGGAGGAGAGCACTTCAGCCCTCACTCCAGGGCCTTTGGCCGCTGCTGGACGGGATGCAGCCCAGGCCATGAGGGCTCAGGGGGCCACGGAGGATGGGGAGGAAGGGCGTGCCTGGTGCAGAGGAGCAGGACCACAGCTGCTCCCACTGCGGTCCCCATGAGTCAGCATCAGCAGGAGCCAGCAGCACAGTGCCTGCCCAGCAAGAGGCAGACCCACACCCTCGGGCTCAGGCGTGACACGGCCTCGCTTCGTGGGTTCCTGCGGCGTCACCTGCATATCTTATCACTTCTTCACATCTCAGAAGACAAGTGCAGGCACCCTGGTGTGATTATGCAGGACCCCCCGCCACACACACACACACACACACACACACACACACGCCTCCCTGCCCGCTTGCAGTCACCACGGAGCCCGGCGAAGTCCCAGGGGACACCCTGCAGACTCAGTCAGCTGACCGCTCCGGAGGCCTGGCCCCATCGAGGCACACGCTTCCACCCCGGTGAGAGCCCACCGCCTCCCCGGAGGCCAGGCTCAGAGCAGGTGCTCTCCCGGCTCAGGGCGTGGACTTCTGATCGGGTGAGACTTACCAGGTCATGGACAGGAACTGCAATATGCAGAAGAGCACGGCCAGCCCCTTCTTATGCCACTAGCACAGGGAAAACAGAAAGAGCGAGTGAAGGATCTTTCAAGATACTCTACGCCAGCGGTTCTCAACCTGTGGGTTGCGACCCCTTTGGCGGTGGAACGACCCTTTCACAGGGGTCGCCTAAGACCATCCTGCATATCAGATATTTACATTATGATTCATAACAGTAGCAACATTACAGTTATGAAGTAGCAATGAAAATAATTTTATGGTTGGATCACAACATGAGGAACTGTATTTAAAGGGCCAGAAGGTTGAGAACCACTGCTTTACGCCTACCTTTAACTCCCTTCAGAAATGTAAGATGATAGCTCCATTCTATCAGATTTCAGTATGACAAGGTTACGATGCAGTAGATGTGAAACTTAACTACCTGTATCCACCCATTTCCATACTCTACACGCCTGGCATTGAGCCAACACGCCGCACAGCACACACAGGCTGCACGCACGCCTCTGCATGGTTAGGGCTTGGAGGCACGTGAACATTTCCCTCGGTCAGCAGAGCTGCATCCCCTGTAGAACTTACAGATCTCACTCTGTCTCAGGTGCCCCTTTTGTTGCATTACTTTTTGAAGGAAAACTGCATTTTACTGTGATCTTCTGGAATAATGCATAATAAACAGTTTCCATGATTTTTTAAATGATCCACTTTTAGAATTCCTTGTCCATTTTTAATGGTCATTTATTTACTTTTTATTTAATCTACTGCTTATAAATCAGCAGGCTGCCAGCCCATTCCAAAACCGGAAAGCCATTTCCACAGGGACATGCAGAGATTGCTAAGACCTTTCCTTGCGCCCGTGACTGGGATGTGGCTAGTAATTCTCCCGGGCGACGGGGCAGCAGCCTGAGCACAGGGAGGACCCGTCAGCTCTGCCCGTTTCCGCTGCAGAATCCGCGGCAGGTCTGTCACCAACCGGACGTCACCATCCACGTGGGGGACACTGATCTTTGGTGGGTTTGAGGGGTGGACTGGGAGCTCCTTTGAGGGGACAGTTAGTGGGAAGCAGGCGTGGCCAGGTACTCACCCACAGAGCAGCGCACAGCGTCAGCACGAAGCACAGCTGGGGGAGGAGAGAGAGCGCGGTGAGTGTGCGTCCTCGCAGAAGCTGGACTTGAAGCACATCGCCGCCTGTGGTGGCATGGATGCCGCCACAGAGCACGGCCGAGCCAGGGGCCCGCTCTGCAGTTCGCGGTGCTACTGACCCCAGGGGTGATGACCGCAATGCTCCCTGCACACGGAAGCACCCGGAGGAGCCTCTGCTGAGGGCGCCCACAGAGAGCGTCTGCAGAACGTTTAGTGACGGAGCTGCTCTCAGGGGCACTGGGTTATGCTGATGCTCAGGACCAGCTCCGCCAGGTGTCAGCACAGCTGAGCGCACGGGAGCCGAGCCGCACGGGAGCCGAGCCGCACGGGAGGCCTTTCCCACAGAGAGGGCCCATCACTCCCATCCGTGCCCAGGAGGCAGGGAGCCCAAGGAGGGGCAGGTGGCAGCTCAGCGACAGGCAGGGGGTCTGGAGATGGAGACCCAGGCGAGAGCCCAGCTCGGACGCCACTAGCCGAGTGTCCTTAGTTAGTTATCGGGTCTAGTCCTCGGTCACCTTCCCTCTGAAAGGATAGTAGCCACCCACCTGCTCATCTGTAGTGAACAGATCAGAGTGTGTCCCTCACATGCTGGGGGGGGGGCACTTAGAAGGTGCTAAGTGTCAGCATTTCTTTCCCTTCGTCAGGCACCATCCTGTCAGCAGCAAACGAGGCCGTCCGACTGCGAATGCTGACGAGTCATCACCAGTTAGATCCGAGGAGTAACTCGCAGTCCCTGGGGAAAGGGGCTGTGTCTCTAACGTCTGAACAGCCCTCGGCCCTGCCTGCCATGCAGACACTGCCATTCGGGTCTCCGGTGCCCCGGGCAGAATCAGCCGTGTGACAGTGTCAGTCTCCTAGACAGGTCACCGTCAGCGCACCTGCTGCTACAGGAGCTGCCACAGAAAGTCAAAATGACGCGGCTGACCTCTTCGAGGTCAATGCGATACAATGCAATGAGTATGGTGACGTTGAGTAAGGACACAAACAAAAAACTAGGCTACAAAGTTTTTCTCTAGTCAGGAGGAGGGCGAAGACACAGTTACCCTGAAAACATTCCCTAACTTACAAATCTACAAAGATGGTGTTTAAAAAGCGAGTTAAGAGTTAAAAGGACAAAGTAGCTGTGCTAACATTTCAATTCAGGAGCTTTAAGGGGAGAGCTCGGAGGAGACACAGGACAGCACGTGGCGCGGGTTCCCGCTGCCATCGCACCCAAAGCGACGACCCACGAACACCCCCAGATGCATGACGATGAAAACTATACGTTTCTGACACAAACATCCAAAGACAAGAGAGCCCTGAATTAGTGGGACCGATGGCCGGGGACAGAGCCCACGGCTAGCGACGCCTGCTGCTGCGAGTGTCAGCCAGCCGACGGAGGGACAGCGCCAGGGACAGGCCACTGAACGACTGCCAGCCCCCCTCCAAGAGCGCCCACAGCAGCCCACCAAGAACCGCTCGTGGCTGGACCACGACACGCAGCAGCTCTGACTCCCTTCCCTGGAGCTGCCAGGTGAGGCCGATGCTGTGGGTGACACCGTGTCGCCCCACTGCCTCAGCCCGAGGACGCCACTATCACGTGCAACAAGAGAAATGTGACAACGGCCGGCAGAAAGACAGGCCATTGGTGGGAAACAATAAAGCAACCAACCCCTCAACGGAAGCCTTTGCGCCTCCGCCTTTACTCACCAGCATGATGATGGTGGCGAGCAGCCTCGTGGTCTCGAACATCTTCTTCAGCTGCTTGAAGGGCCCCATCAGAAAGCATGTGCTGTGGGCGACAAACGGGGGCTGAGGGGCGCCGGGCGGTCCTGACGTCCACGCGTCACCATCTCCAAGTCCGGCTCATCTTCCTTCACACCGAGGGGACCCGAGCCTCCAGGAGACACAAGTGCCCCTTCAGAGAACCAGGGGCCCCAGCGGCCTGAGCTGACGCCATCGCCACCACTTCCTGTCCATGCTGGTCCCATCGGACCAACAAGAAACAAGACCAGGGCGGCAGGGCCAAGCCAGCAGCCACACCGAGAGGTGCCACGCCAGCTTCACCCAGCCCAGGCGGGGCGGGCGGCAGGTGCGAGCCCGGGAGGCTGGCTGAGCTCAGACAATACCTCTGATCCAGAACGTTCCTGAGAAAGACGGTCCCCTCGGAAAGCGAAGTGCACAACCGCGGGCTCATAAATCTGACAGCTGCCCCAGCAGACACCAATACACCCCCACGCGCCCAGGATGCTGCAAGAGGAGTCCCAAGGCCAGCCCCCTTCCCCTGCCTCCGCGCCCCTGCCCCGACTTCCTGCACCACCCCCCCACCC